CTCTCACTTTTTGAATAACTCTAGAGGAAACTGCTGAAACAAAATCGGCTGGTTTTTTCTTTTATTTCTTGGTACTAACGCGATGATTTCAGAAGTAGGTCACCCATTATTGTTATAATTAGACACAGTGTTTCCTTCCATTGCCAATGTTCACCGAAAAATGCCCGTCAAGGTTCAACAAACGCGTCTCTTTTTTTAATCTATTCTTTTCCTTCCGTTTACTCAAACATTATATTTTTTTAAAAAGTTATTCATGTTATTATCGCAACTGTGGTTGTCCATTGCTTTTGATCGTATCGGTGCGTAGATGCACAGAGAGATGGTCTAAACGGCGTCCACTATAACGCCACTTTGACCAAAGGTCATAACAGCAGACGCTGGGAGCAACATTGATGCCAGAGCGGTTTACTGGTTCTTAGAGCCGACTGTTTTAATTAGTGTTTTCTGCGTCTATATATATATATATATATTTATATTTTTTCTTAATATCTTCATTTACTTGCTTATTTTGTCTCAATTAATTACTTCTTCAAGTTTTCTGCATAAGTCGATTCAGATAATTCAAATCTTTTTCGTTTCGTTTTTTTTCTTCCTGTTATTTTTTCTTCTTCTGCTTTTCAGGATGGTTGTTTATATACTGCGGAATACGCTGGTTAAATGGCCGAGAAATTCATGGCAAAACAGTGTTGCCCGGACGATATTTACAAAGAGGAAGGCACTTACTGTCCCGGCACCAGCTGTATATCAGTGGAAACCGCCGCCAGATCAGAAAGGTCATCTGAAATATGAACGATACTGGTCTAACAATGGGAAGTATCTGCCACAGGTGAAAGTTGGAGATACGTTTTCCAGAGCACTTTTTGGAAGAATAAGCGAAACCTTCGAACTGTATCCTATATATTTCCTTGCTGGCGTTTACCTTGTTACACTTGGCACATTCCTCTATGTGACGACTCATACTTGTGACTTTAACACTTCCAAAAAAACCTGGCCAGTTATTCGTGATAAATACTGGAAGTATCACACAGTGTTATATGATCCAACCGGCAAAACACATACACGTTTTCCTTTGATGGAACAACTACTGGATGAAATAGAAGCAGCCAGTAAACAAAGACGTGAGGAAGACAATGAAAGATTTAAAATTGAGCATTAAATTTCTAATGCTTTTGCGTTCACTTTTTTTGTGTTCTATCATTTCCACTCCATTTTTTGTTCAGAATTTTTATATGGTTTTGATCCAATCATTTTCTAGATTGTTACTGGTCTAAAGATGGGAAATATTTGAAGTTGCTGTGGTTGTTATTCGTTGTCACTGTAACTGTACATAAATGTACATTAATGAGTTGCCAAATTAGCAGCTATCGCCTGAATGACACCAAAAAGTCACCATGGTTTGACTTAGTTTTATTTTTTTGTTTTAAGTTTATTTCAACTGTTAGATTTGGTATAGTTTCTTGTTAGAAATCAATTATTGTTTTTGCTGTTTGCTTCCTAACAGTCATCTCTGTTGGCTGTTAGTTTGCATCTTACTGGCATCAGTTTTTTGTGAGAGTTTATAGCCAAACGTTGTGTATTAGTATAATAATGTAAATCTATCATAGTTGGACGTTGTGTATTATAGTATGATAATGTAAATCTATCATAGTTGGTGACTATGCAGATAACGTGTTGTCGATAACAGCTTGGTTAAAAATTTTTATCTATTATTTGCCAAAAAGAAATCTTTTTGAAACAAATCATGTTGAAAACAAAACGTTTTAAAAGATTTAGAAAAAATCTAAAATGCAGTTTACTACCAGTAAAAATAAGTCACCTATAGCTGTAAATGTAATTTTTTTTCTTTTTTTTTTTTTCAGTTTCAGAATGAGATTTATATATTGGTTCTATGAGAGGGTTGAAAGTCAATTATATAGAACTTTTGACAGTATGTGATAAGTTTTTTCTTGTATATTCTTTCCGTTTAAATATATATATATTTTTCATTTGTTTGCTTATTTGTTCCTTTTTTTCGCTTTTTACAACTAAATTTTTCTATTTTTTTGTACTTTTATCTAATTTGTTAATTTTGAATGATTTATATGTAAAATAACTTTTTTCTGTTGTTCACTTATTTATCTGTTAATATAAAAATAAAACGTTGCTAGCAATAGAAAATATAAATAACTAACAGAACATTGATACCTCAGATTAACAATGACTATCGTTGTAAATGTAATAAAATTTTTGCATCTTCTTTTCACCGGTAGACAAAATAATAGTGGAAAAAGGAAAAACCGTGGTTGTTTATGATGGTTGTTGACAAATGTAGAATAGGTGTCGTTTAAAGTTACGGCTGAAAATACATGAAAATTCAATGACCTAATGGTACAGTCGTCAAATGCTGATACAACTAGATCCTTTTTAGCCCTTTTGAATTTGAAATTTTGAATGCAGGGTCATTTTAGCGGGCGCTAAGGTTTACAGATTCTTGGACAACTAAAACTTAATAATGTTATACGCATTTAAAAAAAAGAAATCTTACTGACGACAAAAATACCAAATATCTTTTCTGTGTTATCATATTCACTTGTAAAATTTTACGACAGTTATGACAGCTTAGCGGAATAAGTAATCTGTGCAACAGTATTCTCAAGGATTATTAGTAGCAAAGTTTATCTTTGGAAAAGTCAAAGAGTGAGAAAATTGGTTTTGTCTTCAAACACTGCTGAAGGAACAGTAACATAAATTTTTCTGTTAACAGTTTGGTTAAATTTAGGCAATAAACGGGTGACTTTTAAGTGGTACTCTAATTACTTTTCGCAAAATGACACAATAGCTTTCCTAAACGGTACAGCTGTTGAAGGTGATAAAAGCATTATCCTCCACTAAAAAATTCTATATATGCTGCTCATAATTTAAAGTAAACAATATCAGAATTAATAGCACAGAATATCTCAGTTGTAAAAGAGGAAAGTTATTTTGTTTTTGCAAGCTTTTTACACCTAAACCCTTTGATGTGTTTTGAAAATTCCGGTGACTCAGATCTTTTACATTGTTCAATTTCGTTGCATTTTGAAACTGTGGTTTTATATACTCGACCCTCTTTCTTGCCTGTTACAAAGCTGCATTCCCAATTGTAACTGAAGAACAACATCAGCAGGAGAAAGAAAGTGAATGATAAAAAATCAGTTGTTCTCTTTGCACCCAAATAACCTTAAAAATTGCCACAGCAACGCAACATCAACCGTAGTGCTAAATTATTTATGATGTGTTGTTTCAAGTAATTTTGAAGGTCTAATTACAAGTGACTTAGAAACTGTTGATTATAGCTAAAGTATTTTTTTAGAAATCCAAATAACCCAAGCAACCTTACAAGGATGTTAACAACTGAGCATAGTTGAAATTTTTGCAAAAGTTGGCAAAAATTTAATAAAAAGATGACACTCTCTACAAATTTATCACCTGTGTTCAATTGAAAAGTACTTTGACACACAGTGAACATTCTAATTTTCAAACTGAAACGGTATTTGTTAAACCAATTGTCCAAATTTTAACGATGTGTTTTTTTGCAGCTTCTTGACTAACAGTGTTAAAAAGTGGCGCTTGAAATGGCTGCAGCTCATAATTTCTGTATTTTCTCAAAGAGTTTAAAGGGTTTTTTAAAACTGAAATTTTTTTGAAAAACAGGATTTCTTCTTCTTATGAAAATGAGCATCATTTCTGCCGTTCATTGTCTACAGAATACTTGGAACCATCTAAAAGAATTCTTCGGCTGCTTTTCATTCGCCTGACTGCTAAGGTGCATATTTCGATTACTTTTACACAACTGTTGAACGATTTTCATAGCATTTCAAAAACACTTAATTTCTAACTTAAAGTGGTTTTCCTAGGAAATACTACAGTTCCAGACCAACCCATCCTCACTTTTTAACTGGTCACGTGAAAATATCGTATTACTGGTATATCGCTATAACACTTGATTAAACTTGCAAATCAGGCCAAAAAAGGACGTTTTGAGTGGTTGAAGGTTTAAAATGATTATAATAAAACCCTTTACAAAAAATCAGTAAACGAAACATATCCTCATCAACATCATACATTTCCAATTCTAGCAAACTGTCTACTTAAATAAACTGTTTTGGTTTAATCCCTTGATCGGCACTCCAAATAGACCCACAAACTTCTGAAACGACGACTATGAAATTAGAGAAACCGCGGTTATAGTTTTTTTCACAAAAGCCTAATTTTTTACTTTTCTTTCAGCAAACCTCTGAAAAAAAAAAAAAAAACTATTTTGAATTTTTTTACAAAAAATGTTTATGTTATAGCGACTTTCAATCAGTTTTCAGTAAATCACATACTATGCCAGTACTTGCTGAACACAATTTTTTCCAGCACCAACTGTTATTGTTCTAGAATAAGTGACTATTTATCATTAAAATCTGGAGAAGAGTTTTTGTTTGTGACTATTGCAAAAAATTGAAAAACGAACTCTCAGAGTTATAAATTGGTACTTCAGTAGGTTTAGAAGTTCAAAGAGGAAATTTAGTTTAGTGCATCCAGTCATTTTTTGCAATTGATGAATAATTCTGAACAATATTCCCTAATAGGGCTCTTTTTCGTGCAATACAAATGGCAATTTGGCTACTTTTTGCCTTCTGGTCTGCTGTTCCATCCAAACCACTTCATTCAGTACTTTTTCGAAGTTTTACTTAGCAATTTCTTCTACTTTGTTTTCATTTTTGATCTTTGAGTTGAACGATGAAGATATGAACACAAAGTTGTCCAGAAAAACTAGGTGTTGATTTATCCTGAAAGTCACTATCTGTCCCTACTTCAAAAAGTTCCGGTACCTGCGTGTAGAAAAACTTGAAATTTCAGGACAGATTTTCAGACTTCTTCCTACATAATCTGATTAATCAAAGGCCTTTATAAATATCGTTTTTTGACAAATAAAATATGCTGTTTTAATCATATGCAATACCTTTAGATGACAAAACAGTTATAAACTCTGGTAGTCAAAACTTGTGTCTGGATGCAACACCAGTTTCAAAACGATATCATAGCAATCATGCCGCAGAATGTAGGTCATTTCAACACCTAAGTATTAATCAGATCCGTGTCCATAATTATGTATAGTCTATGAAAGAAACTGGAGGACATGGAGAGGATAGAATAAGCAAAACATTGTTTAAGAGGTAGTTGTTGCAATCCCTCATGTATTTAATCGTAGGATATTCTTTGTGTCAATTCTTTATTTTATTTGTGCTTCAATTTGTGCTAATCCACTTTCCCCTTGTAAACTTATTCCTTTGAAACACTTCTGCACAGTTCAGCACAAAATCCTCGAGTCACGTTAAATTTATCTTATACAGTTCTGAAAATTTGATACTCATTGAAACCGACCCAGTGGTGGAAATTGAGTGGTGTATGACAGTTAAGGCTAAAAGGCCTGGAAAAGGTAGACAGATACCATTTGAACTAGCAGGTGGGTTATGAATCAACACATTACCACCGAAAAACGTAGTTTTTTGCTGTCAAACAATTCAGTTTTATTTTTCTCCTCATTACCACGAACTATCACGTTTTTGTTCCCAGTGAATCAACAAAGAATCCTGACAAGACAGGATCATCCATGGAAATCATCACCAATTGCTGTTTCTTAGAGAGTGCAGATATACAACTATACCAGCGAAACGACAGTGTCCTATCGGTGCCATATTGCTGTGGCATTTCGATGTTTGAATTACACCAGTAGTCAAAATTTACGCGGCACATTTTCGCGCCTTCTGAAAATGTGATTCTGCTAAAGCTGCATCGCAGTGCGTGTGTGTTTACCAATTAAAGGCGTTTCAAGTTAATAGTGCATAGAACGGTCATTGAAATTTGAATATTAGTCTGATTTTGGCTGAACAACTGGACGTGTACTGACTGTTTATCTGTTACTGGTTTATTACTTGGTTAGGACTTCTTAACTTCTAACGTCTCAATTCCACTTTTCCATTCTATCTTTGTTTGTACTTTTTCTGCCATTTTAAACTTTGTTGTTTTCAGCACCTTGATCTGACAACTATGGATGCACTTCAGACTATTAACAAGGTTGAAGATCCTGAAGGTTTACGTATTCAGGAGGAGTTCCTCCGCTTCATTAATGAGTAAGTTTGAATATTCCGTTTCGGGTGTCCAGAATTTTTCGTTTTTGCAATGTGGTTTTATGTTCAAGTAAATCCACCATACAGCATCGGTGCTGGTTATTGAAGCATTTATGCTAATGTTACAAAATTGATGCTGAGGAGTGTTTTAAGAGAGTATTAAACTTCTAGCAAATTTCTGTTACAGATAACAAAAATAATTTCGTTGCAGTTGCTTTTATAGAACGCTTGGGAAGCTTATTCGGTATAGGTCGGAACTTTGTAGTACCTGGATTAGATTCACTGAAAATATTTTTTTTTTTAGATTTAAAGACGAGAACGGAGTGACTTGTTACAAAAATAAACTTTGTGAACTGCTCTTGGCTGAACATAATACTCTATATGTGAACTTCAGCCATATTCAGGAGCACAGTACTGCAATGGCTTCGGCGTTGGAGTTACAGTATTATAGGTCTGGTTTCTACTTCACTAATTTAACAGCATTAAACATTTTTTTTAACCCAGTAAGATTGTTGCAAAAACTCAGTCTTAGAGCATTTATTGGAGCCATGCTTTTTTTCTTGAAGGTTGCAGCCTTTTATATCTCGAGCATTACAACTGGCTGTTTATGACGTCTGCAAGGACGAAAGTGACAGGCAACGGCTGTATAAAAAAGTATTATATGTTAGTTTCAATAACCTGGGGAACTTCTACAGGTGCTAGATGCTTTTGAATCTTAGAATTTTGTTTTTTGAATTACAAGTATGGGTGTTTGCTTTACGTTTGATTCCACTTGTCTCTTTGTTGAAGAGCTTTTTTTTTTCCTGCTCTCATATACATCTTTTTAGAGTAAGGGAACTGAGCGCTGATAAGTTAGGAACATTGGTATGTGTCGTAGGGCAGATTGTTCGGACCCATCCTGTTCACCCTGAATTGTATAAAGGGGTATTTACCTGTAACGACTGTGGTTCAACAATTGACAATGTTGAGCAGCAATTCCGATATACTCAAGTAAACTAGTGAATAACTTTTAGATGAACACTTGATTTGCTCTTGGCTGCCGTTTGCTGGGTAGCCATCGCTTGCTAAAAGTATTAATTAATTAGTTTTTCTGTCGTTTTGCTCTTTAGCTTTCTTTGTATATATTTTCGACAGTAAGATTTTAGAGAATCTGTTAACTTTCAGCCTACCCAATGTACAAATCCTCAATGCCTTAACCGGTCGAGGTTTACGCTAGATATCTATGAGTCGACGTTTATTGATTACCAGGTTTACTCATCTAATCGCTTCTTCGTTCTCTGCACCAGTATGACAGGCATGCAGTCACCGTACCAATATGGCTAAGTTTTGCCATTTATAGAAAATAAGGATTCAAGAGACGCAGGCAGAATTGCCGAGGGGAAGTATGCCTCGTAGTTTCGACGTCGTCGTGCGAGGGGAGATTGTTGAGAAAGTACAACCAGGCGATCGTTGTGACATAACAGGTACTCTTATTGTAGTGCCTGATGTGTCTCAGCTAAGCACTCCAGGTTGGTATTATCGTCTCTGCCTCTTTAAAGTTCACTGTTGTACTAATTTCAACTTTTCCGAGATGACTTTGATCTGTAAAAAACGTCCTCTTATTGATGTTACTTAAGGGCTTCGTGCGGAAACAAGCAATAAAAATCGTATGCGGGGAAGTGCTGCAGAGTCTGAAGGCCTTACCGGTCTAAAAGCGTTGGGCGTGCGGGACCTTAACTATAAACTTGCTTTCTTAGCCTGTAATATTTCGTCGCATGACTCACCTGTGAGGACTTATTGTCGTTACCTGAAGCGTAAAACTCTTGAAAACTTAGTTCTTGCTTTCGGTTTTTCAGTATATAACATGACCCATAATAATTTACTATGTGTTAACATTCATTTCATGTAAATAGATTTGTTTATTTTATTAAGTTCGGTGCAGAGGATTTTGGCAGAGCAGACCTAGATACCGATGAGTTGTGGAAAAGCATGACTGATGAACAAAAAAGGAAAGTAAAACGGATGAGTGAGGACAGAGCGATCGCTCAGAACCTTATAAAAAGCCTGTTTCCAAACATATATGGGAATGATGAGGTTTTTATCGTTTGATTGCAGGTGCTTTATACTTTGAGGGAATTTTTATTTTGGTATTCTTCAGGTAAAACTCGGTGCTCTTCTAATGCTCTTTGGTGGAGTTGCGAAGAAAAGTCCCAGCGAAGGTACAACACTTCGTGGAGATATTAATGTCTGCTTGATTGGAGATCCCAGTACGGCGAAAAGTCAGATTCTCAAGTTAGTTGAATGTTCCATATGTCTATCAGGCTTCAAATTACAATATGCGTTTTAACTTTTTGCGTTATTTTCAGAACCGTTGAGGAGTTTTCACCTCGTGCTGTCTATACTTCTGGAAAAGCATCTAGTGCAGCAGGCTTAACTGCTGCTGTGGTAAAAGACGACGAGTCATTTGAATTTGTAATTGAAGCAGGGGCTCTCATGCTGGCGGACAATGTTGGTTTTTTTTTGTCGATTTTTTATCAGAAACCGTTGATGCAATCTAATAGGAACATGTTTAACATTTTTTAATTTCAAAAATGCCGAAATTGCATATTCTGTTTCCAAATTCTTGAGTAAATGTTCTCTAGAGCGTAAATAGTTTCCAGTTTCAAAAGCAAAATTTTGGTATGACTTTTCTGTATTTCTGTGTAGTTCAGTTATGGTTTCACAAATTTTACTTATGCAATTTCGCCAGCATTGGGAATTTTTCGGTCTTAGCATTGAAAGAATGTGATTTCCTCTTATAGTTACAAATGTTTGATTAGGGGGTTTGCTGCATTGATGAATTTGACAAAATGGACCCGAAAGATCAAGTCGCTATACACGAAGCTATGGAACAGCAGACAATTTCTATCACCAAAGGTATTTCTTTTTTGAATTTGCAGGATGTTATCAAATTTTTAATTTTTAATGTTTGAGCTTTATCTTCTTTTTGCTTCATAGAATTGTTGTTAATTTGAAGCTGGTGTGAAAGCTACCTTGAATGCGCGTGCATCAATTCTGGCTGCTGCTAATCCTGTTGGTGGACGATACGATCGTTCAAGACCTCTAAAGCACAACATACAGCTTTCGGCCGCTATCATGTCTAGATTTGACTTGTTTTTTGTTATGGTGGACGAGAGTAATGAGGTATCGCACAAATTTGTGATTTTATTCAAAATTCAATTTACCCATATTGATGCTTGCGCTATTTTCTTAGTTGGTGGATTACGCTATTGCTTCAAACGTTGTGAATGCACATCGCGCGTATACAAATGATGAACAGATTTCGACACCCTATTCAATCAGCGATATCCATAAATATATTACTTTTGCCAGGTGTTTCAAACCTGAGGTAATTGTTGTCGAAGATAATGCAAATCGATGAATTACATTTCCGAATGTGATGCTTGTTTGATTGCCGTGGTAAGTTTTTTGAGCGTTTTTACACTTATGCATTGAAGATAAGTGATGGGGCTGCAGAACTACTAACTAATGAGTACAAGAGGCTTCGGATGGGAGACAGTAATAATGCTGCAACTTCGTCCTGGAGGATAACAGTTCGGCAACTAGAGTCTCTAATTCGTTTGTCAGAGGCATTGTCAAAACTCTATTGCTCTGATGAGGTACATATTTTAAATTTCCAAGAGTTCTCCGTCAAACGATTTTTTTTTACTTGAGTTGTATTGGCTTTTTCCACATTGTTTCCAGTCAGTCTCGCGTACTTCACAATTTAGTTTTGCTCTTCAGGTTAAAATTGAGCATGTCAATCAAGCATCTAGGCTACTTAGCAAGTCCATTGTAAGGGTTGACCAACCGGATATAGCTCTTGCTGATGATGATGACTTTTTGGAGCAGATGGATGTGAGTTATCTCGCCTTTTTTTATAATTTACTCTAGTTTTTCAGTATTTCTTCATGTTATTTAAGTTTTAAGATGGATGAAGTTGACCAGATCGGTCAGGATAATCCAAATATTTTGAAAGAAAGGAACCAAGAAGTGGGCGGAGAAACAGAATCTAGTGTGAAGCCGAAGATTGACCCGAAGAAGCTAAGAATAAAGTATCAGTTTTTTACATGGGCTTAACTTGTTTTTCGGCTTCTGTCTCGGCGTTTCACTGTACCTTTTAAGGTTTGAAAACTATAAAAAGATTTCTGATATGTTGGTTCTTCATATTCGCCATGAAGAAGACAATGAGCCAGAAGAAAGTGAGGTCTGGGGAGTTCAAGAAGAAGACTTAGTCAATTGGTACGTGCTGTTTATTATTGTTGTTTTTTGGCGCTAAGTAGGTGTGTTTTAATATTCTAGCTCCTATACGGCGCTGGAATTGCTTCATTTTCAGGTACTTGGGGATGATTGAAGAGAGTTTGGAGACGGAAGATGATTACCACGTTCAGAAAACCATCTGTGAGCGGGTTATAAAACGATTAGTTCACGAAGATGGGGTTCTTATTGAAGTGCCTGCAGAATCTGGTTCTCCTCGCCTCATTGTGCACCCGAATTATGTAGTAACTGATGAGTGATTAAGTGGATTGTTACCCTTTACAAGTGTTTTTTCTGCCTTTTTCATTTTGCTGCGTCCAGAGGTGGTGTAAATTAAAATTGGAGATCCTGAAATGCACGTCGGCCTCAGACAGCTGCAAAATTTGTGTTTTTTGCAATTGTTATCTTTCATGATTGTACTTTTTCTTTTCTTAGCAGACTTTCTGCAGAAAATTTTTTTCTTAAGAGATCTCATCGAATGCTTCATTTTTATTAATTTTGGAGGTTGGCGATCCTTTATTTTTGTATCAGTTTTGTTAGCTTTTGCAGGAACAGAACTTGTATCCAAGCTTGGTTTTAGATAAGCTGTCTACAATTAGTTTTTCTGAGCTTATTGGTACGGGTATTATAACTTTTTGTTTGGACCTAATAAAGTAGAAATTCTCAGTTCTTGTTTTATGCATACCATTCCTGTAGGTCTCAGGGGAGAGGTGAAGTAACATGGTTGAGAGAAGCACTCTTCGTTTTGCGAAAAAGCTTCAATGAAACGTAATTTTTAAGCGGATGGTGGTATTTGCTTGCGACTTCACTGTTGACTTCTGTTTCCTCTCGCAGTGCAAGAATATCGAAATAAGCTGTGGTCCAAATAAGTTGGTTTGGGGATTAGCTGCAGCTTTTTTTCTTAGTCGTCGGATGTAGCAGTGTCAAAAAGCGGTATGCATAGGACATTTCGAAACGGTAGTGAGTTTCCCAAAATGTTTAGCAGCTGAATTAGGGGTGCTGACGCCGTTATTTGACCACAAGTGCATTGGGAGGTAGTCGACGTAAGCGAAGGAGCGACGTATTGTGAACGGGAAGAGGGATGTGTTGTAAAGCGAAAAAGTTTAAAATTATTCAATTTTTATTTGGTTGGCCAGGCGTTTAATTCAGTAAAATTTGTAATGATTTTGCAGTTTGGATCTAAACCGTTTTTAAAGATTGTTAAGCAGTGTCGTGGTTTTTGTAACTTGTTGAAGTACAAATAGCTTTGGATATTTTTAGAAACAAGTCACGGTTTATTTTTTTTTTAAGTTTTTTAAAGCCATAGTTTACTTTTTGCTTTACATGGCGATGCCGAGATCATTAAATGCCGGTACGGCACTGCTGCTATCAGTGCTGTCGTTACATTCCATTCTTTTCGCTTGTATTAATCTTTTCCTTCCCATCGATTTAACGCTAAAAAATCTATTTGCACTATGCTGCGTGAGGCTCCTGTATGCTGCCTGTTAGCTGTGGGTCAAGTCGATGAAGAAAAAAACCTGATACTGAGAAACTTGTTGCAAGTTATGGGGTATGGAGGTGGCAGTCAGTCAGCCATCAAAGGAGTTATTGTGCAGTTCAGTTCTGCTGTTAAGTCAATGTTTTTTAATCTGGTGTACTTTTATTGGGTAGGAGTCAGTGATATTTAATGTGTGGCAGGGTTGTTGTTTGTACAGTCTACTGAGAGCCTTCAAGAGCAGAAAGTTTAATATTCTTCCCGGTACTGTTGTTCAATTATTTATTCAAAGCTGCTACAAATTGAGGCCACATGAAACTATAAATTTGATCTGAGCAATCTAATTTGCTTCTAAAAAGTATCACTGCTGCAAACGGTGAGTGTGCTGCACTAATAATTTGATTTAGTGTTGGGTTAAAATGTGAAGTAATCACCTAATTTTTAGCAGTTTTGTGCAGAATAATTTTTTCCTTCATTTAGTACAAACGGCTTCAAACTACGTATTTGGGTAGGATGTACACATATATTTCTGCATTTTATAACTACTTTATAAAGCACTTTTTGGAGTCAGTTAATTTATAGATATACAAAGATCTTCGTACAGAGGCAGGTGTTCTCACCATTGCGAGGATTCCAGGCAGACGTCTACTACAACAGCCTCGGTATCTGTGTTAGGTTCCGAGAAGGAACTGCGGCAAGACGCTGAAGCTGCAAGTAAAATAGTTTGTTATAAACGTGATAGAAGGACTATGTGACATTTTTTTACCCATATGGGGGTTACTCGCCAATTTCTTGTCTCGGCTAAAGTGTGCTTAAATTAATTGGGTTTTTCAGCTGGTACGGTTTTAATGTTTAACGCAGTTCTCCCAAATATTGCGGAAGAGACCGTTAAGTCCAAATGACCGTTAAGTGTTGTAGAACCAGCAGTCTGTTCAAGGAGGCATAAAGACTAGATTTTTAAGTTGTCAGCCAAACAGACAAAGACAGATTTTTACCTTCCTCTTCAGACAGGTAATTTTGTGAAACAAGCCCGTCCCTTTTTTTCTTCCTACGTCGGATCCTGGATTTCCTTATCTCAAAAGATCTTATTAACTGCTGGATTTCAAGGTCGGCGTTGTTTGGCTCTTCAACCGTTTCCCTTTGATCTTCTATAAAACTACGTGAATGATTATCATTTAAGTGCGATTCTACAGGTTCTTGTCAAGCGACTTTGAGCTTGATGAATTGTGTTAGAAAGCTAGCGAGTTTTTTTTTGGAATTTAGGATTGAGTAGCAACCTTACTTAAAGTTTGATAAATATAACTAGTTGATCCTGGCAAGATATGTTCGATCTCCAAAGTATCAGAAACTGTAATCTGCTGATGACGATTACCATAGATCCTGATATCCCCTTCAAAAAACATTTCTACGCACTTTGACACATCTCGACTACTTAGTAACTGAAAAGTACTGTTAGCTTCAAGTAGGCAGTGAAATTCATAGGATTCTATGGTAAACCTGAACTTAAAAGTGACTTTATAAGGAATGAAAAATTTTTATCAACCAGAAAAATTTGGTTGGGTAACCTGTTTAACGAATTTGAATAGGTTTTCTGGTGGGGTATTCTGAAAGCTAAGTACGCAGCCGACACCAGCCAGTAGAAAACTGACGATTAATCGCTCGCTTTCACAGTTTAGGAGGATTATCACATCTGTTCGTAGACAAGTATTCTCTAACTGCGGTCCATTGATCAACAACTGTGGACAGTTAAAAATAGCCACAGAAGCCGACTGGAACGTTAAAAAGTTAACGAAAGATATCAAATAAAGTAAAGCGGTGAATTTACCAAAACAGGTCAGGAAGATATAAAAATGGTAAGCTCAAAAGAGCGACGTTACAATTGCATCTTCAAAATTTCCTATTAAGGTCTTTAATTACCTGAAGTTTATCGAGCATATCCTCCTCAGCTGTCTCGTAGTAGCAATTTAATTGGCTTAAACAGGCACTAGTAAAACCGGAGACTAATAGCGATTGCAAAGGAGACTGTTTTGACGGTCTACGCGGCCCAAAAAATGACATTTCATGACTGTATTTCGTCCCTGACCGACTCACATTAAAGAGCAGCTCTGCGTCGGCTAACAGTTCATCATTCTCAGTGATTAATTTCAGATGACTTCTTGTGATTATTTTGTTTAGCAGCCTAGAATACAGTACTGGTAACGGTGTCAATGAGTTTTGATGATACTGGACGTACATGCTGACGACACCACCTGTAAAAATTATCAATTCAAATTGCATGAATAGTTTGAAATTATAGCATTATGCACACTCATAAACGTGAAAGTATTTTTTGCCATAATGTTAAGTACTCGTTCAAAAGCATTTAATTAACTTTAATTTGTTGTCTTCAGAAGCCAGACATTTTTGAATAGAGTTAGAATGGAAAAAAAATAAGCTTACTCTCTTCAATTTTCCAAGTAATACCAAATTTTCCCATACGAAATTCGTATATTGCTGTTTGCGGCAGGGTAAGAACTTTCTTCTCCAAATTCTCAACGGTATATTTAGTTGAGTTATATTTTTGCGATAGACTATGGATTGCCCAGAAATACTGCTCTGCAACCAGCAGTGATTCTATTGGTTTTTTTCTTGTCGCAGACATGCAAATTATTTTGATAAAATGCAGAAGGCAAAAGAGTCGTTTATCGACATAAGCCAAAGAAAAAATATATAGTTGCTTGGCGTTAATAACTGGTGACGGTGCCGGGGGATTGTCGAGTACTTCATTCAGGTATTCCAAACATTCCTCAAAGTTAAACATTGTTATGAATAAAAATTTTCATAAAACTATACTAAACTGCTGCCAAAACAGACCAAAACGAAGATTTTTTTCTTTTTGTTTTGAACAGTTTCTACCGTATTATGTTTTACTGAACGCTGTTAGTTTTGTCAGCAGAGTGTCACTTTAGAGAATGATTACCTGATGGCGGTTTAAAAGGCACAGACATATTGCTTTATCTACAATGGTTAGAAGGTCCAAATGCTTTCGATTATCTAGCCGTATTAGTGATAGAGCATCAGCAGGCTTATTGCCTGCCATAAGTTGGTGAATTTTTCCCCATTTGTTCACAAGACTATCGTCGACAACCCAATCATACAAACAAGATGCGTCCAAAAGTTGATGAATATTTTTGCTTTCGTCTAAAACTGAAGATCTGTTAATAATTGTTGTCGCTTTGATGTTACCAAAAAATTTTTTTTGGTTACTTTGGTAACTAGCAATACAGAAGTATAGGTGTTCATATCTTACAAGCTAGAAATTACTAAGGATGTAAACATGTACCACGTATTCAGAATCATTAGGTATCAGCAGTGATATGGTTTTTAAAATTTCTTTTTCATTGCAGTTCAAAACTGTGTAGTTCTTGCCTAGTGATCGACCTTTAAATTGTGCGCTTTCCGATATATTTTGCAAAAAAGGAATTTTTAAAATAGTTTTAACTTAGATGAAGTAAAGAGCACATAAAAAAATAGCTTTCGCCTTTAAAAAACTGGAAAAGAAGAGAAAACAAGTCTAATTAATTACTCTATTTCGAGAATTATCAGAAATTTTTGGATTGTTGTTCAAATTGAGGGGAAGTTTACTCCAAAACAAGTTTCCAGTAATCTTACAATTAAAATTTTAATTGTTTTTAGAAATTATAAATGTTATTGTGATGTTCCTGACATCCCGAAATGCGAATGTTGATGGGAATTTGTTGTGGTAAGAACTGTGCTGGATTCTTTCTCAATTCTTATTTTTAGTTTCTATTCCATACAGTAGTGATTAGAGAACTAAGTGCCAGTGAAGCGTTGTTACTACCAGTGCTGTCCACTTGCCACGTTCAAATCGTACATGTTTTTACTGCTCTTATCTTTCAATTGATTTGGTATTGTAAAACCCGTTTGCAATTTGCTGCACAGTTTTTTTGTAAACTCCTTGCCAGCTGTTCGCTGGTGTCGATGAAGATGAGCAGAAATAGTGCAGAACAGTGGCTACCACGCCTCTGGAGGTGGTGGCATTTGTTGAGATCCCCTTGGCTGTCAGAGACATTCGTTCAGGTCTTGCGGAGTTTGCGTGGTAGTGGGGTTTTCTGTGGTGGGTGGCTTCATATTATCATGGGTAATGGCATTTGCAACTTTTCTTGGTGGTGTGGTTTAGTGCTCCGTTAAGAGTGCGAGGCATTTCGGGGTTGTAAGTTTTGTCATAGCAACCTCGACTGCTCTCAATGAAAGGTCACCGCTACATAACGGTAAATGAACTACGTAGTAGATTGGTTTAGAATTAGAACAGAAACTAAATAAGTCCTGTTGTTATCACTTCTATTATTAAGTAATTAATTTCCTGAGCTTACGAAACCTTGGCGATATTTGGGAAAGAAAAAAAAGTTGACTTTATCACATACCGGTAAGATTGTTTATTTATTTTACCAGGGAATCAGTTTAATTCAGTGTCCTTACCTTTTTGGATAATATCTGAGACTGCATTGATAACAGCAGACGGAGTACAGCTTTCTGTACAGCATTCAAGAATAGTTATTTGGGCTTGCAGTGTTTCTGAGAAAGCAGCTTGGTAGGAAGCTTCTTCAGTCTCATCAACCAGCGAAGAATTTGATGCCATTGTAATAAATTTGAATTTCTTCAAGTAAATCAAGGACTGTTCGTAATCTTGCATCGAAAAGTAGCAGGCTGCTAACGCATACGTAAGTCTTTTCCAGAGTTCCTGTAGTTTTATGAATCCATCTATGTTGTAAAGAGCAAAAAACAATTATTTGAACAATTCTGAAGTTGCAGTATTTAACAAATTTTTTAAAGTATTATTCCAAAATAATTTTCAAACCAATGATTATTTAATACACAGGATAACTTGTAATTTTAACCTGACAGTCAGCAGAGGAAACTTGTGATAGCAGTTTTTCTTGCGCGGCATCCAAATACTTTTTTGCAATTTCTGGCTCATCGTCATGAAGCCATAGGTGAGCTATCAGAAGCATACATTTACACTGTTCTTTTTGGTCTAGACAAACGTTCAGATAACCGGTTAGCATAAGTAGAGCTTTATTGATTAGACCACAACGACAGTACACATCTCCGAGGAGTTCGAGTATTTCTCGATTATCGCTACACTGTATTTCGTTGCTTAGAATAAGAGCCTTTTCCAAGAACGTAATGGCATCTCCAGTGCGATTCAACTGCATTGCCGCAGCAGCCGACTCTTTCAGAACTGTCAGCTGTAAAACCAGGTTATGTAGAGTTGACTTTAAATGTAATCTATATTAAATCCAGTTCATCATAAAGTTTTAAACGTGTTAATGACGCCTCATAAATTTGTTGAAATGAAGAACTAATGATATCACAGAGACTGTATTCAGTAATAATTTCAAATTTCTAGTGCTTTAGCCTCTAAGTCTACTTTTTCTTACAGATTTCAGAGTAGTTTATTAGCCTATTAGCCATTCATTCCTTATCTAAAAGAAGAAAATTTACTTAAAAAAATTTTTTGAGTTTCAAAATTAGTCCTGAAAATCTGCTATACTTGTAATTGCTCGGAGCCGCGTTTCGATAGGGCGATTCTAGCGTTACATAAACGAAGCGCCCATCCAGCACTTCGTTTAGCGCATTTTTCTTCAATTAAATGGCCAAGGATCTCGCACTGACCTTGAACGTCATTAATCTCCCCCAGGTAAGGAAGTTGACGGCAAAAGTTCATTAATGCCTAAGAGGATACTGACCAATTATTGGGCATTGTTTTTTTGATGCAATACAACAAATAACGGATTATTTAGAAAAAAATAGTAACATTATAGCAATATGATTAAAAAAATTATGCTTTTGTTCCTACTGAAAGGTCAGTTAGAGGAGCATCAGACCTTTTTTCGTTTTCCCAATTTTAAGTAGCAGTTTGCGATATGACCATACAATAATGCCACATCACGGCCGCTACTTCCTTGCTTGGCAAGCACTAAAGATTTTTCAAACACTTTTCTGGCTTTTGCATATTCGTTTAGCTTGAGCAGTGTTTTTCCAATTTTTATCAACGCATCCAGTTTTGCAGTCAAATCGTCTAAGAATCCAGCTAACGTCACATAGTACCTAAACTTGAATTAAAAAATCTAAAAAACTATTGAAGTGCCATGCAGATAATCGACAAAAACAAAATTTTTCACCACATGGTTTTATAACAGTTTTCTTATTGGTTGAATAGGGAAACTTGACAATTTCCCATTAAGCATTATAACGCACTTTCAAGTTTTCTGTCATGTGTTGCCACAAACACATATTTCTATTTAAAAAGAAATATATAACTGTTTGAGTGTTGAAACAGTACTTTTACCAAAGTTACTCTCCTTCCTTTAGCATAACTTGGTGAAGTTTGCCTTGCAATATTAAAATTCGGTTAAAAGCTTTATAAAATTTCGTTTGCTCTTTTAAAATGTGCATTTTCTCTTAATAAGAATTTTAGCTTTGAGACTTGAAAAATTATAGTGTCTTACTGGAAATTAAAAGTGCAAAAAAATCAGTTCACCTTAGTGTCGACAAATATAGGGATGTCGAGTTTGTCCGCTTATGCAACTCTGCAATTTTAGCGTATATTTCCATCATGGATTTAGGATCTGCAAGCTGCTGTGAAACAACTAATGCTTGTTGATAGTAACGGAGTGCTTCAGCCTCTTCGAAAACCAGTGAATGCAGATCACCTAGCTTTGTACAAATCTGAATATACAATTTTTTATCAGAAGCGACATCATCAAGTACCCTAGACTCAGCAGTTCGGACACTAAAAAAGGACTGTATCTTCTATCACTTGAACTGGCAAGAAGCCTACCGCCGCCTCTTGTTTCATGTTTTCTTGTTCTTGTGACAGCATCAAACATTGCTCGTACAGTAGGGCGGCTTCTTCGTATGCTTGACAGTCCATCTCGTAATCAGCACGATCTTCCAGCACAAAGGCTTTCCTTGAACTCGAACAACAATTTTTACAGAATTCTTCCTCAATAAGCAAATGTTCGTATTGTTTTTTCTAGAAAATGGGGCAAATAAACGACAAAAAAAAA